CCCCCCCCCCCCCGCCACATAAACACCGAGAAAATAAATCGATATTTGAAAAATTTTCAAATTCGAAATACGTTTTCGAAAACGATTCAAGTTATTTTTCAAATATTCCGAGAATTTCGACTAATTATTCCATCAGCATGGCGCCAACCAATTAAAGTCTCACAGAATGCACGTTCGGAGTGTACATTCCAAGAATTCTAAAAGGCACACAGTTCCACGTAATTCTCAAAACTGACCATAGTCAGAACTGTCATCATCTCGTAAAAAAAAAAATCCAAGATACCACCATACGCCATTCGTGTCCCAAGATCCGATATGACAGTACAGCGGAATTCGGTGTTACATAGATGCGAGTGTAAATAAATCCCCATATTCTGCCATCCATTAGAACAACAAATTCCAAAACTATTTTCAAATAAATGCCACCCCACCTCTGTGAGGAGGGATCGAGTAAACAACTATGTATATATACATACAGTAACGTCCAATTGAAGTGCAACGCTTGAATTTTTTTACATTTCTGGGAAAGTATGACAGATTTCGAAAAACCAAAGACATATTTTTTAGGAATTATATTACTAATTAGAAATATAAATTTCCTTCCGGAACAACTAGATCTCGAATTTTTCAAAAAGTTCCAAAATGCACTTTTTCACTCCAACCCCTGCCATTCGGGCATTTTGCATCCGATCGGGATAACACCTTTACCACTCGAACGGGAAGGAAATTTCCTAAAAAATATGTCTTTGGTTTTTCGAAATCTGTCATACTTTCACAGAAATGTAAAAAAAATTCAAGTGTTGCACTTCAATTGGACGTTACTGCATATACACGGTAACCTGTACATTGGGTCAGGTTAGGTAACATTAAAATTCCCAAAGCTACCTCGCGGCGGGGCCCCAAGAGGAAGAAATATTCTTGAGAGACGGTACGACGGTGTATGGACCTATCACGATGGTAGGAGAGGTTAGTAACATTCCATGATGGTAGTTGTCGGTATAGTAGATGCATAGTTGCCCTTGTGTCGCGCACAGGGACGCACGTGTGCATACAAAATGCTGGACGCGCTCGTCTCGACACATATTCGGGCGGCATCCTCCCACTCTGGTTTTCACTCTCACATATGACCGTATGTCAGAGTGCATATACACATGGGACGTACTCCCACCATAATAGTCGGAGAGAAGCATCCATTGACGCCTTGGCCTCAGCATTTATGAATGAAGCCCCTTCCTGGTCCTTGCTGGCACGTACGTATTGGAGGGCTCTATATGATTGCACGTATGTACATTGTTATGAGACAGAAAGAGATAGAGGAGACCGTGTGTCAGTTATTTACACAGAGAGAGCATACTGGGTGTCAAGTCCACGAAGTTGGGCCAGTCCGACGACTTACGGTTCTCTTTTACATCGCGATAGTAAAGTTTGTACTACGATATGTAATATCGTATTAAAGAATTTCGAATTTGATCAGTTGACTGATACAAATAGTATGTGCATAGTAGCATAGTAGCTTACTATTGTTTATATAGTGGATAATTATTATTATAAAGATAAGTGCGTTCATTGTGAAATTGTAGGTATTTTTTATTTTATTTTATGTTCACCATAATAGTTAAACCACTATGCTCGACAGGCGTGTCAAGGTGTACTACTATAGCCTATGATAACCCGTGAAATGCGATGTAAGCTTGTTGAAATGGATCGATTCGAGGTCGACGTCGGGACGCTTATCGGGCTTTCTGTGGGACGTAGCGAAAAACGAGAGGCCGGATGTGACGTAATCGGAGGGGGTCTGAAACTCCTAAGCACATAGACCCTTTTATACAGAACGCTTCGTTACTACATTACGTACGCGTGTTCTTGTCGTTTCCTCTTACTCTCGTTCGCTTTCCGTTTGTTCATTAATAAAAGTTTCGTTAGCGCCGGCAATAGTAGCAACTTTGCCCTCTTGGTAGTAGCTACTATTCGATGCGCTACTTTTGTTTACCACTGTGTTCTCTACTATTCTGCGTTGCGTACCTTTGCCGGTGGCGACGAGATTAAAGGAACGGCAGGACAAAGTAAAACAAAGGCTCTCGGAATAAAGAAGGTGGCGAAGGTACGAAAAAAAAAAAATAAGAAAAGGAAGAAGACTGACCTCGTGAGAGAAAATGGCGAGAGTGTGGGTGTGGGAGAGAATGCGATATCGCCTATATTGCATCGCCTATAGCTCCACGGAGACAGGACACTCGTTCTACAGGCGAGTTCAAAAAGAAACCGCTCTCATAAACAACGCTCGAGAACAAGAGACGGGCAGCATGCTTTGTGTACGGTTGAAAATTTCAGTCGCAGGTCAAAGGTTAAACGCAGAACAGTAGTGTAGGTAGATGCGTATAAGGAAATGCGTGTCGTAATAGTAGCCCGCATGGGACAGTAGCTCTCGATTGGATTCGGCGTTTCCTATTTAGGAGGAAATATGAAAATGGCCTTTGTTAGATGCGGGCCCTGTTATTGGGCCCGTTTCCCCTCTCGCTCTCCCCTTAAACTATCCTGACCTACAGCAACGTAACTATAAGCGTAACCTGACCCAACGTCAATCAGTACTTAATACCTACTTATGGTGTTATGCTTATACCATAGTATTACGGTATAGTAGTTACTTGGTACGTAGTATATATATATCAACAGGTATTACTCATCGCGTGGAGCATAGTGAAATATATTCTGGTAGTAGGCGGCTCAATATATTACTTTAGTATTTATGTGGTTGTATATCATTGGACGTAGTTAATTTTCTATTAACACTTTATATGCCTTGGGTCATTAAGTCATTATAGTATTTACTATGCTACTATTATTTTCTGTACTTTTACTATTATTCTATAGCGTATACGCGGCTTGGCATAATACTATTTACACTCGGTGTACTATCTCATATCAGAATTATAGTAGCCATTCACGATGGCTAATCTCGGGAAACATTACTCCACGTGTATTACGCTGGTATAGCATTTACGAAATATGTGACAGCATCGGTTTACATGGCACATACCTTCATACGATACTCACCCTTCGACACGAGTACTAAGCATGTGAAAAACATCAACCTCTTTCGCTTATCAAATGGTTTTTTTTTATAATTCTACAATTTCACATTTGTGTCATGTACAATCAGAGAAATTGTGGTCTGGTCGAGGAAACTACGAGAGCCTTATTATTAATGTGGTGATAATGGCAATTATCAGCTTAGGAAGTGGTCATGGTAGGAAAGTCAATGTATCAGAACGATTTATACAGCTCTCCGGTCACCTGAGGAAAACTAGGTTATACGTCTTACACTGTTATTGCTGTGTATGATAGTAAAAATTAAAGAAAAATTGCAACTATGCATAGTTAATTCGATGAGAAAGAAAAGAGTATCACTCACCATGCTCAGCCATCAGGATGTTGCCTTTGGGTATGGAAACACCTATAAAATAAGAAAAGAACACTATTAATGTACAACTGTTTCAACTATCGCGCATTACATTTTAACTATAATGTATCTCATTGACTATTATTAGTATAGGTTATCATTGGCACAAAAGAAAATATATTGTATGATAATCAATTAAACGTCGAATTACATTACGCAAGATTCATAACTCATTATGTTCTTGCTGGACGTGAGCGCAATGTCACGATAATGACTTGCAATGCGATGATAATGAATGACTGGTAATGCAATGATAATAACTGGTAAGGCAATGGTAATGCGACTGGCGCTGGCGCTGGCGCTGGCGCCACAAGTGCATCGCCTACTTTTCACACATTACCGATATCACTTGAGCGACGGCAAGATTACATATTGAGATACTATATAAAATTATTTTTACAATACTATGCATGATTTATACTATGAAGAAATGTAAGTATAAATAGAAACACTATTTATTTAATAAATAGTTGATATTACTTTTTTTTAACCCATTTACATCACAGGGAGAAGAGAAACAAATATGCGGTTATCGCCAATATTTTTTGTTTATTACGCAAACTAAGCGTATACAGGGTGGGGCATTTATAGTGAGCAACTAGAATTTTTCGGAAACGAAGCCGGATATAAAAAAAATTTTCAGACAGAAGTTGTAGGGTTTCAAGGGAGACGGAATATTTCGTTATAGAATTCCTTCCTGAGCGCAGGCGTTAGGGTAATTCGAAGATCACTTTTGATTCTTTTAATGGGACGATGCTATTTTTCTTCCAGAAATCAAAAGAATATTCAATTTTGAGTTTAAAACTACAAATGCACTAATGACCGAAAATTGACAAGTGATATTTAAAAAAAAAGCCACTCCCTAGATTACCTGGGATCTACTATCTGCTATCCCCCCTCATCCCATTCTATAAGAAACTCAAATCTTACTGAAAAATTGAACTATCCCAGTAAAAAAAATGATAGAAATAATGATGCAAATGAGTTAATGAATAGTCGAAAGAGTAATATATTTAACTATTTTAACAATAGCCACTATTACTCATAACTATGAGTGAGCAGCAACTATTGATATATTCTGTCAACCATAAAATCACAGTATCAAAAGTTAAACGCAACTAAAAGTATATCGAGCCACGACTCTTTTATCTATCACAAAGACCGGAAGTGCCTATCGTTGGGGAACGCTGAACTATACGATTTTGATAAGGGCGGATACAACTATGCCTCTTGGACTGGCTAGGAAAAAAAAGGCCCTTTAACCCTTAGAGGATTATAGGTTACGAGCGGCCATCATGAATTTTCTGTGATGAAAATGAAAAATGGCAAGTTTCACAGATAACCTTAAAAAATCGAGCATTACACTTGCACGCTGCGTCCACGATAATTAATTAAAAATCGGCAAAGTTGTTAAACTCGAAATTTTTCAAGTTTACCAGTTTCACATGAAAATTTTCTAATCGAATAATTCCTTCAATTTTCAATTAATCTTATCAATAATCGTACATAAATAATTGCTAACCCTGCACAATTCCTTGGATGACGTGGACGCGCAAGGAATATCTGTCAAATCTACGTTATTTACGATTTTCACATCTGCTGATTCAAGATGGCCGCTCGAGCTTCTCAGTCCCCTTAACTGGTAAGGTGATTTATTATGACGTGTATTTCTTATAGCACTCGGTTCCAATTGACCCGCACCTTACTAGTTAAGAGTTAATTCACCTTTAATTCACATAAAAAGTATACACAGACTATAAATTGAAAGTTTGTATTATTTCACCTAAATATATTTATCTCGATATTTCTATTACCAAAAATGACGACAGGGACAATATTATATGAAGATTATAGTTAGTTAGTGATACAGATAGGGATATCTATAGAGATAGTATATGGGTATGGGAATGGGATGGTGAATGCATCGAATGCCGGTCGGTTCGGTAAGTCGGCGGTTCGCGTTGCCTGGGAACGAGATTCCAGTCTGGAGATGCAAGTCTGCATCCCAAGCAGCCTCACCAAAAACTGATTGGATACCAGTGAGTTGGACTCGACCGTCATCCAGTTGGATAAACGCATTATTGACGTGGATGATAAATTTGTATTGTTTGTACCATAGTGTATAATGAAAATTTCCAAAAATATAAAACACTCGTTATCTAGCGTTAAAAGAAAAAATTTACACTAATTTTTAAACATTGAAAAAAAGTATTAGAACGTACAATTGTGTTTCCGCTGACATTGAAATACAGCCTGATAACAGTTTACGTAGTCAGTGTATAAAATTCCATTGAGGTGACACTCTCGAATTGTAAATGAGCTCATAACGAAAATTCATTACATAATATGTATAGGAAGCCTATCCAGTATTGATGACACTATAGCATCCTAATCATGGAATCACAAAGCATTGTAATAATTTTCCTGCTACGTGCTGAGAAACGTTAATTGAAATGCAACGGATGAAAGATTTAAAATTTAAGTTTTATAAAAGAAAAGCAGAAAAAACTATGATACATGAACGATGTATGGTCATGGTAAAATTTACTATAAAGAGGTGATCGTATAGTTAATAAAAAAAATATGATGCTTACACAAGTAAATATTACAAAGTTGCACGTGATTTAAACTTTGGCAGATAACGTAACGGGCAAGTGTAAATTCGCATGAAAAATTATTTATCCGACATTAAATATTTTCAAAATCCAGTATAAACAAGTTACACTTGTTCAAAGCTACGACAAAATATTTTCAACGATCTTACGAAAGCTTCCTTTACATTTCGGAATCAACGATGAGTCACTTTTATCAATTTTTAATTCACTGATAAGGTCTGCTACGAATTGTCGTATAAAGAAAGTACGTCCCAATTTGCCAAGGAGCAAATAAGTTTTATTTTACAAATATGTAAACACCATTTGCAACAAGAGCTAAGGGATCGCCAATTAATCCCCCATTAGAAACACACGAGTTTAATAGCTACGGACCCTAAGGGCATCGCTTTCAATCGGCGACAACGACATTCCAACGATCCGCTCGCCAAATGAGGAGAAATATTTCTGCAAAGGCAGAAAACGAGCCGAGAATCCGCGACAAGCCTTTCAGAAAATCCATTACACTTACTCGCTCGTTATCCCTTATTCGCGAACGTGACAATTCTGTCTGGCGCGCAACTGCACTTTCAGCGACACTATTGCGTACTGCACTTATGATTAATTTTACCATGCTTATTTCGCTGAGTCCTAATAGTAGGGGAATATTGAGAAAAAATTTATAAAATTCTCAATTAAACTGCGACACAGTAAAAAAGTACAATATTGATTTCAAGAAGCGCAAGACTACGGGAGGAATTCAAAATAGAATTTAATAGAATTAGTACTTGGGTCAGTTGCACCATAGTGCAGTTGTCCTTCGTCCGTTGCAACGCAAAAAATAAGTGCAACAGACGATGCGCTCTCTATTTGGTCAGTGTTCATTCTCAAGGGTGGGAACACTGATACACTTTATTTACTTATGTACCACGTGTACCAAGTCCACTTTAGTTAGCCCTTTACCTATATCAAAGACAATTTATTTCTAGTCCCACAAGGCGCACCCGTCTTGTGTACTAATGCAATTAGTGATAAAAGAACAATTAAACTGACAAATGGATACCCGAAGACTTAAGAATTTCAAAGGGAAAGTAAAGTGCGTGGAATTTGGTCAAGTGCAACCTGTCGGTAATCGCATTACACGCGTTTCCAGATTTTGTTCACATTTTCCGGGAATTCCCCAGAATCCAAGAATGGCCTCTCCACCAGGAAGGTTTTTACCGTTATTTTCAGAATAGAGGAAAGACCGTATCCTGCTGCGGCAGGATATCTACCTGCAGGTTCAGCCTGGACTGTGGGAGTAGGTGTGGATGCCTCGAGGATTAGTCCAAGTGAAAGTAAACCTGGTAACGAATAAAAGTGAAGAACAATAGGGAGAATGAAAAAAAAGGAGCAAAGTTAGGAAAAGTAAAGTAACCTTATACCTTGGCAAACCTTTTCATATTCATTGTCAATGAATGGTCCATTGGGTAGTGAATTACGGTAAGAGTAGGTAACGTCAGTAATGACAGTGAGCCTTGTCCGAAGGGTTGGCGAGTTCAGTAACAATGCGAATGAATGCTGATGGTCTATAAATATTTATTGACCCCGGATAATTGCTCAATTCGCTAGAGCCAGCGCGCATCACGAGTGCACGAGCAACTAAAAGATGCAAGAGACTCAGTGGCGGGTACGGGCCGCTCCGTTATATCTCAGAAGCCTCAACGACGCTTCTCTCAGTCTGTAAATAGGTCCTAGTGATTTCCTAAAAAAAATATATATATATTTAATCTAGTAAAAATTCATCATCTTTTACTCACCAGATAAGCTTGGTTCAATTGAAAAAAAAATCTCTAGGCGCCAGACTGGTCCATTATCCGCAGCATAACCTATAAACATCCAGCGTGGCTCATGGTCGGCGTTCTCGAGGCAGTGAAGTAACCCGTGAAATATGGCGGACCTGGAGGCGCCAGGATTCCAAAACATCCTTGTTGTGAAGCTCCAAAGGGATATTTACCAAGTCAGGGGTATAGGTACTGTGCGTCTTCCTGGAAAACTCCAAAGGCAAACAAAGAGCAGCTGCCCTTTAAGGGGTACCGTGCGAGAAAGGGAGCCAAAGGTAGGAAGATCCTGCAAAGGATCTTAGGCTTCTTGGAAGAGCTTTTCGAAAAGTTCGACATTTTTTTGTCTCATCCTTCTTTCTTCCTCTCGTTTTCCGAGAAGGACCTGAAACAGCCAGAGCAACCTGTTACCCCCGGAGGATAAACAATTTTCAAAACAGTCTTGACGGACGTACAAATTTTTTTTTTATTAATATTCTGTCACAAATAAATATTAGATAAAGTAGGGCGTAGCGAAGATTAGGCCATGAATTAACGTAAATGAGGACCGCAGGGAAAAAGATATAATGCAGAAGGACCTAGGGGCGTTCCAGGACAAAAACGATTAATCCGTTGATTAAACGCTAATTAGTCCCAAACGTCGGCTTAATTAGCCAGACGACGTCGCCCAATTCTTAACGCGATGACGAATTCGCGTCGCTCTTGCCTCTTTAGTAAGCATCAAGAGTATTCGAGACCTCAGCCATCTTCTTAGTGCTTTATTTAAAAATATTATTTTTCTTAATTTTGGAAATAGCAAAGTTTTTTCATGGAATTGCAAAGTCCTAACTGTACTGTCAATTTAATTAAATCAATAGACACCGCGAAGGCAAAAGTTGCACTTATAAATCGTTTAAGTACCTAGAGCCATCTGTGAGAAGGGGTAGAAGGAAAAGAAGACCGGAAAAAAATCGATAAAATGGATAATTCGTCGTATGCGAGATTGGAAACGGCCGGAAACGAGTATGCGGGAGGTTAAAGGTCACGAGCCGATACTGACGTCACCTCCTTCTTCTCCCTGTCTCCGCTATCCGACACTACCAAGTCCCCACTCTTGAATCATTTCGACCCCCCACTCTCTTATCATGAACCAATCAGCGAGCAAGACTCCAAGAGAATGTCCCCGAAAACAGCCGAACGAAACCACAAAGAGACTTCGGCAATAATCGTAAGTGGACTGGATGATCAGGATAAAAGGTCTGTTACCACTCCACCCGGTGGCTCCGATTGGCTAAAAAATTGTACCAACAGAATTTCAATGTCATTCTCAAACTCCTAACCGAAATTCGGCCCGAGGACCTCTAAGCTCGCGCAAGCTGCTCGCATCGCGCGATAACGATAACGCGGCTTGCGTTCGCACTTTTATCGCGCTACCGATAACCAAATATCACTAAACGAATTTAACGAGTGCAACGGTACGTTGGAGAATATAAAAAAAAGAGGATATGCCGCAGACTAGATAAGCAATACTGAAATTATTTCTAGGAAAAGAAATATATCGAAAATTAACGTGCACCAGTGTACTAAGCCAACGCCATTGTTACAGTTTAAGATAAATTCAAAAATGCGTATATTAAATTATATATTTTACAATTTATATGCACTTTGTAGCTATTGATATATCATCTGATAATATACCAGTACATGTGTAGTACATATAATATTATGTCAACATCACATAATACTATTTATACTAGACTCCAGCGTATTTGTAGAGATGGCACAGAGAGTATCAGAAATATCGAAGTGTATCAACATATATAATAGATGCAAATGGCGCTAGTTGAGTATGTTGAGACGGTTAGGAAAAAAAAAAGCTAACCTTTTCTAATAGCATTCCTGTCAATTTATCAGTCCCGCGACGATACAATAAACCGGTAATTGAATAATGGCTTCCAGAGTGCATACGGACGTTCTCACTTTCCATGGTCAGTCCCATCACAAAAAGGGGATCCGGCAGTCATCCAATGATAGAAACCAATGACGATCCTGACAATGTCCGTCGAAGGTTCGTCGCACAGGGAACGGCAAAACAAACAGATCAGGAATGTCCTTACCAACTTGAAGAACGTGACAATAATGCGACTATACTGAGCTTAACCTTATGACTTAACCTTCTTGACGTCTAGGCACATCGCAAGAATTATTTCTCGCTTATTTCGTATCTCTCTATTTAGAGAATTCCCATTATTTTCTTTCTTGATTTTGGAACTCTTGCTTCGCTGAGCCAAGAGGCATTTGGCTACTCCAAGCTCATGCGACAAGGGCACGACAATTTCTGGGTCAATTCGTTGAGTCGAGCTGAGTTCCACCTCGTGGAGTTCATTTTCGTCACCATTCAATACAGGGTGTCCATATTTAAGAGACAGAGAAAAAGAATGTTGTACGTAAATACAATTGACTATATTTGTCGCTATTGTAGAACGCAGTGACGTAATTCTGCGACAGAGGTACGTTAGGTTAATAATTGCATAAGACTTACACGATGTTGGGATGAGTGTACTTTTCTTTGTTAAAAATATATTTTCAGACACTGTTTTTTTCGATCTTCAGACACCAGGTATATAATCGTGGAGCAGAACGGAGACTTCCTTGAAGGAAGAAGCGAAGCACTGGGCAGAACGTTCATGCCTCAGTGAAATTAAATACGAGTGCGTAATTCAGCTTTACTACCGAGGACATTTAAATTACGCGAGCTTCACGGATCAGGGAAAGAATGAAGCATTATTTTTTATTAAGAATTAATTAAGACACGGGCGAAAAGCCTTTGAAGTGAAGAAATGTATGTATAAAGAAATAGTCAAACATCGTGCGATTCGAAGTGACGGGTAACGTAAAGGTTCAAGACTAAAGAGACACTTCAGTACCTTCTATACGCAATCCTGGTGTTCCTATGCGGAAGATCCAATATTTTATAGCGATGCGAAGCAATCGAGATATTAATTAGACGATATCATTAATTACTTTCAGAGTATATCGTTATTTCCGGCATCGACGAAGTGAACGTCTCGCATAACCTGCCGGTTCGGTCTACGTGGAAATAATGAGTTCTGTCAGGCCGAATACATCCGATCCCATCCGAATATCCACGAGTATTACCGACAAATGTCGAGTTCCAACGAACGTAACCGAGGGGACTGTCGCGAGGCTAAACAAGACCCGTTTACACAAAGTAGCCGGTATTCTCCCACCAGTTGAATTCACCGAAAACTGTCGAAGATAGCCGAGCAGGCGGTTTTCCAACGAGCTGTGGATACCGGTCGCAGAGCCGGCAGCATTCTGACCTGGTAAGTCGCCAGTGTCGGGTCGTGATCTCCCGCGAGTAAGCGTTTCGTCCCCGAAGACATTTAAAAAGAAAAAGGAAACGCCATATATATGTGTATTATATATATATATATTTATATATATATATATACATACACACACACATATCCCAAGAGAGCACTCGCCGAAAATTCCGTCAAGTCCTAACTCGAATCAAGATCCGACCAATTATTTATTAGACCCCCTGCCTAACTTATTGCTAGCTTCTAACACACACAAAGAGACACACAGATAAACGATACGCAAAGAAACACATATCGCGAAAAAAAGAGGACATTTTTTAAGAATAATTTAAACAATTGTACGGGACTTGAGGGAAACAAGATACAATAATCAATTGGAAGATTTATCAGCAACGGAACGTACAGTGGTATCAGTGTCAATGTTCAGTATTATTGTGAAGTCAGTCCGTGAACAAGTGTTCCGAGTGCTTGTGAATAAGTAATAATCACTAAAATACAAGAAGTGAAATCCGCTCGTAACAACAGCAAGCCCTTTAATCGAGCGTCCGCGCCACGTGGACTACTGGAGGAGTCCCTTTTCAAGTCACAGAGAAGGACATCGTATATAAATATCTATATATATATCTAGATATATATAGATATATATATATATACAGATATATACATATATACATATATACATACAATATAAAGGCCTACAGAGCCTTTCAGTCGACATGGATCTTCTCTGCTGCGAAAGTACCGAAACCGAATGTCGTGCCTATGCCGACCAAGCACTTCTCGGAGACGATCGCGTACTTCAAAATCTTCTCAAGACGGAGGAACGTTACGCACCAAGCAGCTCATACTTTGAATGCGTGCAGAGGGACATTTCGCCGCTCATGCGCAAAATAGTTGCAGAATGGATGTTGGAGGTGAGCACAGGAAATCCTGCACACGTGTCTTTCTCCCGTGTTAAATTCTCTATTCTCTTACTCGTTATCCTCCCCGCACCATCTGTCTTTTCTGATCACAATTAAGTAAAATCGTTGTTTCTTCAATCTGTTAACTTAGTAGCATTCGACGTGGTTCCTTTTTCTCCCGTGTCACGGCGCATCCTGTCTGACAAAATCTGCGACCGCATGTACTGTCAGAATATAACCTAAGAATCCGTCGTTGCCAATAGGCTTAAACGTACGGCTAAGTTTTTGCAACGGAGTGTATAGTAGCTTTTTTAAGTGTAAATGGGTCTTTACGTATCCCGAATTTGCCCTCTTTGTGTGAATTTATCTTTTCCGTCATCTAGCCTCACTTGGATCCATATGTAAGATACTTGGCCTTCTGCGTGGCACTGTGTCTACGTGACTTAACCTTTATTTTCGGATTATCTACCCACCGACTGTATTATACACCGTGGAATCCTACGTATCTATTTAAAATTTTCGTATTCTTTCTGAGTCACGGTTACTATACTGAAATTCGTTGTTCCCTTTGTACAACGAAATACCGATAAAACGTGTTTGGGTTTCATCATGGTTACCGACTATGTATTTACCAGTGAAGTGATTCCACGATTGGCACAGACATGATTTGCTCGTACGGTCTTCGTTGTTCCTTTTATACGGTAAGAAGTAAGTTGATTATTTTTTTTTTCAAACTTTTTCACCTTCCATTTTACTGTCAAAACTCATTCCTCAGAAATAAGACCGACGAACATACAACCTCTTACAATGTAACCGTTGACTACACTGTTCTTCCACGTAAAAGGATTCACTAACCCATCCAACTGCAAGAAAATTGGAAACACTTTATAAGGCAAACCTCTAATTCCCGTTCGTTCCATGATAATCCTAATTAGTCGAAACGTCAATTAGATTTGAAAAGGATTAAGGTATTATTCCTTGTTAGGATTCTTCGCCAAGTCTAAGTACCTCAGTCTCCTTTATTCTTTATAAAAATTGTTCTAATTTTTTTCTCCTTTCGCTCCTCTCATCCAGCCAATCCACGTTTCACCTTTCATACCGCAATATTCGACGCCCGACGTTAACGAACATCCGGCAGGAGCGTCGTTTGCCACGTAGAATCGTACCAGACGAACAGAATTCAAGCGTATGAGTGAACGATCGGGTGTGAGTGATCTTCAGAATGCTCACAGTCACAAGTCCCAGAGACATATACATCACGAGAGAGCGTGCGAGGGGCGGAGGGGGACGAAGGGAGAGGATAAAACCATAAAACGTTAATCGACAGTCCCGAATTTCAACTGGACTCCGCAAAGATTTCGCGCGAAATTTCACGTGGGCCTTATACAACCAGACCTTCCATTCCTCCTGATGATCTTGCGCACTCCGGTGCTGCTCTCCTTGAGATTCACATAAAAAAGCGATAGAATTTTATTTCTTTTTTTTTTTTTTTTTTTTTTTTTTTTTTTCCCCAATTCGTATACAAAAATTGTTAACGGTTTTCATCCCTTACATAAAATCAAAAATTAATCGAGCAAAGCAAGAATAATAATTATCGATATTGGAAACTTGCAAAAATGCGAATCAACCGAAATGCCTTTTTCCTTAATGAGTCGGCCAAACAGGTATTTTTACGCGCAGGAAACGCGAGTAGAATCTGGTTGTAAATATGTGAAAGTGGTTGCTGCTATCCGTCTCTCTCTTTCACCTTGGTGTTTCATCCCGAAGCGCACAAACGAGTAAGCAGCTCTTACCGATTTCGATCCTCCCCCCGGTGGGAGCCAGGATTCTTAACCGTGGGACCCAAACTCTCTTTCGGTTACTACGTTACGTTTACGTCATTCCCATTACCGGTATGTATGGGCCCGTTGCGTCGTTATCCCGGTCGCCCAAAAAAAGGCCCCAAAAATTTACTCCGATGCGTACTCCACGTAGTACTACATGTCGTAAGGGGTAAGACGTTCACCTGCCAGCAGCTTGATCGGACTCCTCTCCAACGTCTCCACTTTCATTTCACTCTGGTTAACTTGGCTGGTTGTTATTATTATTTCACTTTGTTTTCGCACGTCAATGTCTGCCCTTTTCCTTGCGGTTTCACTCATCGCCTTACCTAACCTTACCTCGGGTGCCAACCTCGTGTACTCGTTCTCCGGCTATGGGGCTTCTGTACTCTTTGGGCTCCTCGGATTTACGCAATCCTTGACTGGCGCGTAATTGCAACACCGATGGTTTGTAAGATTGACCTTGAGTAGACCGCCGGGGCACTTGGAGAACTGAACTCGACTGGACTTCGAATCAGTCTCGAAAGTCCATTCGAATTCAGTTGACTCTGAATTTTTGACTCTGATCAATTATTTGTCTGCTAGCATTAAAAGGTACTCCTTTGTTTAACCCTCCTTGACTCTTGTCTTTTTCATCCTCCTTTCTCGTCGCTGTTCTTCATTGCGCATTAACATTTCGTACGGTCTGTGTATAGACTTTCAATTGTTTATTTCATTATTTATAATTTTCTTTAATTATTCTCGATCCTTATGGTCTTTTGTATTGTTTGCCGATCCAAGCCGTATTTATGGAACTTTTAAATCAGAACCCTTGCACCGCGCACGGGCGAGACTCGGTGAGAATTTTTTAATGCAATTTATAACATTGATTCGTGACAACCGCGTCGATTCGAATCTGCGAATTCGCGAGGACCCGTTTCAGCGGGCAATTTCACTCGTTGAAAAATGCGAATGCGTAACCCACATTCGCAATTTATTAAGAGGGCACAATCGACTTGCAATTTAATTCGTTATTTGGCGCGCTTCGATAAATAATTTTGCAATTTGGACTCGAGTTTAAATTTTTTGATCGATCCTCTCGTCCAGGATCTTTCGTTCGGTCACTTACGTGAAAATTGACTACGTTGCGTATACACGTGTCCGCGATACACGGTTGCGCGATGAGGGAGAAAAATTTTCAGTGGAATCCCCCAAAAAAAACTTTGTCAAATTAATTCGAATCACGCCTTGCCTGTTTTACGCTATCTTGGCGTCAGCGAGGGAGTTATCAATTTATCGCAATCGGAACTTTTGAGACTCGCAGATATCGATGCAATGTGTATAATAATATTTTTGTCAAAGTTGCGAACGGGTGACGATATCGTGTAGTCCTTAGGAAATTAGACGCCCGGCGTCGATATGCCAGGCGAGATAGAGAGACAGACCGAGAGAGAAAGAGAGTGTTCAGTAATTTTTAACGGGAATGCTCGTTAGCCGTCCAACCACGTTGCACGAGAAATTTTCATGGGGTTCACGAGGGGCGCCAAGTGTATAAAGGGTGGTTAAGGTTCGTTGGATAACATAAGTTTCCTGTCCCAGCCTAGCAGTATTTGGGTAGCACCTGGTATAACTAATTTGAAAAGGGCCCAACGAGATAGGCGGGGCCCCACTGTTCCAGTCCCAATAAAAATTTGCAATTCCAAACTTTGTACCGCACAACAGTTGAACCCCATTGGGATTTTACTGGCCCGTAACACACGCGACAAGGCCGAAAATGTACAGTTAAACCGTGTTATTACGTTTAGGCTAAATTGGGCCCAAGTATTTATTATTACTCAATGCCGCCCCCCCCGCCTCCCCGTAATCCAATCTACGGCACTGTATCTGGACTAGGTGCACCTGGTCTATCAGAAAATTCATTAACCACCACTGGGGCCCATAGGTATGTTCTCCATTTCTATTTATGGGCCCCCCTTTCATTACACTTTGACCCCGCATATCATCCACACGTTGTGTTATGTTTCCCATTATGTATCGTAACGCGCTGTCTTCTTTCTGTCACTCTAGGTGTGCGAGGAACAGAAATGCCAGGAAGAGGTATTCCCATTGTCGATGAACTACGTGGACAGATTCCTGTCTATTTGTCCGATAAGAAAGTCCCAGCTACAGCTACTCGGTACAGCCTGCTTACTTCTGGCATCGAAATTACGCGAACCGAGTCCACTGTCGGCCGAGGTCCTCGTCTTCTACACAGACAACTCCATCACGCTGGACGATCTTTGGGTGAGCTTACCAATCACTATGAATCACATTCACTGGACTATCATTCGCAGCGAAGATCCTTTACGCGATAGCTTCTTCGATTGTTTGTATCAAGACCGGCAGACGGTCGGAGGCAGATCGGTCCCATAAAACGTCGAGACGTGAATTCTCAACATTGCGCAACGACGCGCATTGTGCACGCGGCAAATTTATTACACGGTCCGCGAGACCGAGTGGGCGGTTTTTCAATGCGCGGCACTGCGCGAGACGCGATCGGTGCGAAAACGAGAGAATTCGTCTCGGCTCCGTTTCGTCATCTTGGACAATCGTCGATGGTCGATGTCATTCATTCTTTTGACATTTTGTTTATTTATTCTAAACAGACTATTTATAATATTTATATAATTCACTGTACGCGGGGACACTCTTGGAATCACCTATTCTTAGAGAAATAGGCTGTTATCGGCTTACTGTAAGGCAGTGTACTGTCGGCTACTGTGAAACTGATAAATGATTAATAAATCAGTATCGTCGAATCTTTAATATTACCACGAAGTCAATGAGAGCCTATTAATGTTATGTCGACCTTCCCATCAAGTCCCATAAGCATTTGACAACGCGACTGAATTGTACGTTAACTTAGCGATTTTTTTTTTTTTTGTTTTCAAGATGACAATTCCATTAACTATTATTCGCGGTGCATGATATTCATTATGATTAACTCCGAGACGTTGTCGTCGATGTACGTGAAACTTTTTCGAAGGAGCTCGCCAATGAGAGACGTCGTCAATGTACGCCTCTGTATTACGTAGTTCGACGGTCTTATTTCTGTCGTTAGATTAGTAACGAGACGTCATCGGTCCTCGGATGAATGTTAATAACCTCATTAAAATAGTACGAGAGGTCGGTATACAAAAATTGTTGAAATAGTCATAATTAATATTTGCAAAATTAATTTTCTTCTTATCAGTATTTATTAGATAAAAAAAGTTAAAGAGTAACAATAATTTATCGCGGATGTAGTGCCTTTGGTGATCTGTGAGGGAAAACAGTCACTGGGTTCTACAGTGATCTGCAATACCGACCGTTGCATCGCGTTGCACTTTGGATAAAAAGTCACCAGGTCGCGCGCCGCTTGGCCCCTCTCCCTGCCCCTCCTAGTGTAGGGTAATCCCGTAAACACTATCCGGCCGTCCATTAAGTCAATCGCACCGGTTATACGTACGACGCGCGAGATCAGCTGATAAGTCTAAGAATATGGATGCACCCGGTAAGCTTTTATACGAGGCGTGAAAAAAGCGCAACAAACTCAAAAGGCCACGAGCAAACAAGCGATAGCCCGAGCGTTGCCCAAATAGATAACAGCTGATAATACCGTAACGTTATTTAATATATCTGTCTCTCGTGAAGTCTCATCAGTTACGTTACGGTGCCCGATTACCCCGTGGAGGCCAATGCCTTTTAAAGAAATTCCCTAGGCCGTGATAGACGCGACGCGTGCCCAGGTGGGCGACGGGATCGCAGTCCTAGGGAATTTCCCGTACAAGTAATGTATCTGAAAACGCGTTTCAAAAAAGTCACTAGAATCCACGTCTAGTGGAATTTTCTTAATCATCGATTCCTCTTTCCTCTCGATCATTCTCTCTTCTCTTCGTCCCTCTTTCTCTTTTTTTCCCTCTTTCTCATTACACGACACATGCATACAACGTCCGTGCTACAGAGTTCGTATTCGGGCCGAGATAACTTTCTCGCTGTAACAAAATGTAACGAGGTTATCTGCGATTTTTGTCGGTAATCGGGCCGTCATTGCACGCGTACGAGATACAGGCGCGGGGTTTCAGGCAGACCTTTGAGGTGCAAGGTCCTCCGTTATCTGTGTCAAAAAATGCTCTCAGGATTTTTGTATTATTTGCTCCGTTGTGAAATACGTCAAAGTTGATTTTGTTTTTCGGCAATACCCAAGAAAGCGCGAGGCCTGATAAGCAAATCGTATCTGTCTCTTAGGGTGTATCGGACTTTTTTTTTTTCTAATATCCAGGCAGGTGCTATACATAATTAATAATACACGGTGTTTCAAAGCACGTGCCACACATCCGCCATGAACCTCACGAATTTTATCGAATCACAATACAGTATTGCCCGGTCAGCGAACTTCAATACCCGTATGTATTATACTGTATCTGCTACATAACCGGTATATATATATATATGTATATTTCATGTATATAGTTGCTACAATAGGTCCGTGTATATATATATACACACAATTTGAACAAGATACGAAAAGCGCATTGTTAATTCACACGTCATCCACTGTCCTCTATATAATACCCACAATGCTGTTGCACATTGATTCCGTGACTGTGTAAAATTTTGTACCTGTAGAAAATTCTGACATACGTTAAAAATACGATAGGATAGATTTACGTGCTGGAAGTTTAATCACGATGGAATCTCTCTCTCGGTGGCAAGGTGCTAGACAAGGGAACGTGCTCGGAGGTTAGGTTAGGTTGACAACAATTGGAGTGCCGGGTGGTGGATTGCAGGTGTTGGCCAGGTGTTCCTAAGGGACGTCCTGCTGCAGCAGCAGCACCGTCGTCGGTACAATTGAGAGCATTGGTAGCAGGAGCACACCGGGCCTTCTCTCGGAGCCCCCGACGGCAGCTGCTGCCCACCTTAGCCCCCCAGGCCCCCCCTTTCCCTCAGCCTGGACCGGGGCTCGCTCTCTCGGTGTCCACTGGCCGTACGACGTGAAAGGGTTGGGGACGGCGCAGTGCGCGCATGCGCGTGGGCGAACCTCCCCGTCCATTGGATCGCGGTCTTACGACCGTGCAGCCCGGACAACCACCACCTGCCCACGCAATTAGAGGTTAGCACGTGGCTCGTACTGTATTTACATTCTACGCTCCAATTTAGAGAGCCACGCCGCTTTCCACCTGCTCCCTGGGCAACGTAATGGCACGGGCGCTTACCTTGGCCATATGTCGCTGGAACCTGTTGCACTTGGTATATTATTGTTAGGTTAGGTTGGATAGGTTTTTTTTTTCTTTTCTTTTTCCTTTTAATACGGTACCATCAGCCACGATTCAGGGGAACACGGCGTCGTGCTGTGGTGTCACGTGTTAACTTACGGGGGAGGAAACGACGATACCTCGATCAATTCCTCGCGTAGTCATAGGATCTAGCACGGTGGCACGAAAAAGATCGCGGAGTCGCGCGAAGCGATAATCCGAGCTCTCCCGAGCACACGCGATTACTTACGATCGCGAACGAGAGAGAAACGTGCCGATCTTGAGGAACACGGAGGTTCGTGCGTATGATACGGGAGTTATGCTGTCGTAAAATGTCACACCGTGTTGAGTCTATACTTGAAACGCTGCGTGATTGTCCAGGCAAGTGCGCGAACGCATGCGTGGCCATTTTTCTTTTTTCTCTCTTCGATGTATACGTCAGAATCGTGGATTCGTTTTCTGTTTTGCTTCTGTTGGCAGCCCGGGTGCAGGGTGGGATGAT